TTCCTGCTGGGAAAACCAGGTGTACACTGGTTTTGTTCGTTTGTTGTTTTTTTTTTAAGGTTTTTGCTATAGGGCAGGTGTGCTCCCTGGAGAGACAAGAGGAAGACAGTGGGGAAGTGAAAAATCAACCCCGGGGGAATGGCCATGCTACAATCTCTTCTCCTCATTCTTCACCTGGAATTTTGGGCACATATGCATGCACGCATGCCCGGAGTGTTACAAGCTGCCAGGTTCAGGACTTGAACCGTGGTTGGTCATGTAGAAGTCTAGTGCCTCATCTACCATGCTACCTGCTGTCCCCCACCATGTGTACACTGTAAAGATGTAGTGATTAAATATAAATAAAATAAAAATGAAAATGAACTTTTTTCTTTTTTTTTCCTTTTTTTGGAGAGGTTTTTGCTATAGGGAACGTGCGCTCACCAGACTGAGAGAGACAGAGAGACAGAAAGCGAGAAATCACCCCCCAGGGGGGATGGCCACGCCGCAATCCCTTCTCCTCCATTCTCCTCTCGGGATCTTGGGCACACACGCACACGCTCCCAGCGTGAGTTTTAAGCCACTGGGTCCAGGACGCGAACCACGGTCGACTACATGGGAGTCCAGCGACATAGCCATTACACTAACTGCTGGTCCCATGAAAATGAAATTTTAAAAATACGGGGCCGGCAAGTGGCGTGGTGGTTAAAGACGCTGGACTCCCACATGGCCGACCACAGTTCAAGTCTCGGACCTGGTGGCTTGCTTTCTCACTTCCTCTCTCTCTGTCTCTCTCTGATCAAACTGAAAAATAATAATGATATTAATAAAGTTAAATAAAATAATTCTTAAAATAAAATAAAACTATCATAAAAAATTAAATAAATAAATAAATAGTAAAAGAATAGTGTATACTATTTTAACAACTTTGAAAGCAGAGCAATCTTCTAGTCAGTGGCATCTAAGACTTGATGAAACAGAAACAAGAGTCCCAAGTGATTCTGAGAATTAATAAATTTGGGCAACTCCCTGGGGCAGTGCTTCCCAATATTTAATGTCCTTACAGTCACCTGAGATCCAGCTAACCCACGGATTCCGAATCAGAGGTCTGTTTTAAGGCCTGAGATTGCATTGCTAACAGATTTCCAGGTAACCTGATGTAGCTGGTGCTTGGACCACTTTCTGGGTAGCAAAGTTCTAAATTACAGCCATCGGAGGAGGCTCCCCCAGCAAGACTCATTTAAGTAAACTGAGATCATCGGCATCGAGAAATTTGGCCTGTGGAGAGTCTCCAATGTCTCTGAGACAACTGCTAGACTGTTCCCTCATTCTCCCCAGGAAAGGGCAGGTGGGATGTGGCCAGAGGGAGAGCTACCTCAACCTTTGAGAAGCCAGAGTCTAGAGTCCAGCTTCCCAAGGCAGCAGTTTGCTGTGTGAAGCACAACAAACCCCACACTCAATACCTCCACAACTCACTCTGTCCCATGAAGTTGGGCCTCGGGTGGTTTTAGTGGGTCAAGGGCAAGTAGAACCCCCGCTTCTCTACCACATACCCTTTTCCTTAATTTAGTCACTAACCTTCTTCTGAATTTTATTTTTTATCTTCTTCTTATTATTATTATTTTAATTTCCTATAGGGCATGTGCACTCACATGAGAGAGAGAAAGTGAGAAAGCAAGCTGCCAGGTCTGGGTCTTGAACTGTGGTCAGCCACGTGGGAGTCTGGCACCCTAACCACCACACCACCTGCTGGCCCCATATTAAATCTTTATAAACCGCAAGTTCTGAGAGATTCAAAGATGAATCAGATTTTGTCCCTGACCTCAGGGTTAGGAATTCAAAGTGGGAAATAGATTTGTTTTTTTAAAAAGAAAGAAAAGTATGATATTGAGCTGGCCTGTGGCACAGCAGTTAAGCCCTGTGTACAGGGAGCCAGATCCTACATGGCCGACTGTAGTTTGAATCCTGGACGTGGCAGCTTGAAAAACATAGCAGGCACATGTGCTTGTGTGCCCCAAATCCTAATGCCGGAGAGATGGAGGAAAAAGGACCACAGCTTGACCACTCCCAATAGGGAGTGCTTTCTTTCTCTCTCTAGTGAGGGTGTATGCCCTCTGGCAATTAAAAAAAAAAGTAAGGATGTGAAGTGATAAGTGCTAAAAGCATAATTTATGTACAGATAAGCCAACACAAAGGAACAATGCTAATAGCTTCCTGGAGCAGCAGCTTCTGGGGGAGCTAAATGAAACATTCCTAACCTAAGGAAGGGTACCACCCCAAACAAAAATTCTTTGCCGGACCCAGCCTGGTGTGATGAAGGAGTACGCTTTGATGCCTGAAAGTCCTCAAAACTGAGCCCCTCTAATCTGGAGGCTCGACATGGGGAATGCTTCTTACATTTGTGTCTAGCTCTGTGGCACAAGTGAGTTCAAGGAAGCAAGACCTTTTGGGAGATGAGGCCCTCAAAAGAATGGGGGTGGCCCTTATCTTACTCCAGAGAGCTGCAGTACCTGAACTCTCTCGCCTGTCAGAACCCAGCAGATCACTTCCCTGGTTGCAGACACACTGGAGTCTTTACACTTTGTCATACCTACAAAGCTCTTAATTGGCTTGACCCATCACAGTGCTAGATATAAAGGCTACAATCCCTGGACTAAGACGTCGTCTTCGGTTGGGATAGGAGTCTCGGTCAAGGTAGGCGGGCTGTAAGAACTCGTGCGCCTGTTCACGCAACTAGATCCATAGAGACTAGCTTTTTGGGGGGCTATGGTACTTGATCCCAACTTACTTTTTTCTTTGCTTCCATCTCACCTATAGGAAACCTTACAGGAGAGGCTTAAGAACCCGAGGAAGCAGCTAAGGAAGACAGCAAAGATGGGGAGTGGAGCCAGTGCTGAGGATAAAGAACTGGCCAAGAGGTCCAAGGAGCTAGAAAAGAAACTGCAGGAGGATGCTGACAAGGAAGCCAAGACTGTCAAGCTGCTGTTGCTGGGTGAGTGAGATGGGAGATGAGCCCGAGGAGAAAACGCTCCTTCCTGCCTTCTCAGAGTCAGTAGGTCTAGCTCACTCCCATGCAAGATGGATACAGGTCATCTTTCCTCTCCCCTAGCCAGTCCATTGGAAGCTCTAGGGCTGAGTGAACATGGGGCCTGCAAGCCACCCAAAGGGATCCAGGATGCCAAAGCCATTCTGGGATTTTTCTGCTCTTCCTTGAACCAGGAATAGTGCAAGGACCAGAATGTACCCAAGCATGTCCAAATCTAACCAAACGCAACACCCTCTTTGAGCGTGGCAAATACTGAGAACCCCGGACTTACAGATCCTTACCGAGTGGCAATCAGGACCTTCCCTCACCAGTAACTCAGAAGTCCCACCAAACAATCAGTGCCACATAACCCCAGGGATGGGCCCTCAACTGATTTTCTCTCCTTGCTTTCAGTAAAAAAAAAAAAAAAAATTGCAACAATTTTGGAAGTAGGGAGCTCTGGCAGTGGTGGTGGTGGTGGTGGGGGGGGAATGGAATTCTTATCTACGGCAGTCTCTTCCTGGCTTTCTATTCCACAGCTGCTTCTAAAGCCCCTGCCAGATGGGAAGTTCATCAACTTGATGAGCTCCTAAGCAGATCACTGAGCAAATAATAGCACCTTGGTCAGTCAGCCAGGGAAATCTATCACGGCTGTAAATAGAACCAAGACAAAAAAACTCGGGACCCCCGGCTTGGTGATACTACAGAAGGAGGCTAGCTGGAGAAGGTGGCGTCTAGGTCTGGCTCTCTGGACTGGTTTCCAAGAAGTCTAGGAACTGGAGCACCAGGCTAAGTTCTGTGGCACGACCTAAGGACACGCTAAAAGAGCACATCTCTGTAAGCTGGATTCAGATTCCAAGGAGCCCAAGAGGTTAGGGGGAAACAGAGATGGCCCGGCCACTGGGAGATCTTTTAAGCCTAAGCAGATTTCTTCTAGGTTCTGCATAAGCCGCTTAGAAGGAACAAGCACAGGCTAAGTGGGAGGAGGTTGAGGCATCAGGATAGTAGAGTTCAAGAGCATGTGAGTTTTTGATGGGGGAGGGCAGAACTGTAAATGAGGTTAGGGTGTTTTAGTCAATAAAAGAAACCAGCAAGGGGACTAGCAGTTAGCGTAATGGCTATGTCACTGGACTCCCATGTAGTCAACTGTGGTTCGAGTCCCGAATCTGGTGGCTTGAACTCACGGCAGGCACGTGTGCGTGCGTGCCCAAGATCCCGAGGAGAATGGAGGAGAAGGGATTGCGGTGTGGCCATTCCCCCTGGGGGGTGATTTCTTGCTTTCTGTCTGTCTCTCTCTTTCTGGTGAGTACACGCGCCCTATGGCAAAAAAAAAAAAACAAACCTCTCCAAAAAAAGAAAAAAAAAAAGAAACCAGCAAGGTGAGGACAAACAGTTATTTCAGTGAACCCCGCCTCTCTAATGCAACAAGATTACTCTCAAGTCAAAAGTGGGCAGAGAAGAGAGACGTGCTAAGGGAATTGCCCTGAATCTAGCAATGGTATTCAACAGGGAGATTCTCTTTTTTTGTTTGTTTTTGGAGAGGTTTTTGCTATAGGGTGCATGCGCTCACCAGACAGACAGAGAGAGACAGGGAGACAGAAAGCAGGAAATCACCCCCCAGGGGGGATGGCCACGCCGCAATCCCTTCTCCTCCATTCCCCTCTCAGGACCTTGGGCACACACGCACATGCACCCGGCGTGAGTTTAAGCCACTGGGTCCGGGACTCGAACTGCAGTCAACTACGTGGGAGCCCAGCAACATAGCCATTACGCTGACTGCTGGTCCCCAACAGGGAGATTCTGACCCCCAGGACCATTTGGAAATGTCTGGAGACACGAGGGGAGTGGGGTGCTACTGGTCTCTAGTGGGTAAAGGCCAGGAATGCTGCCTAACACAACCTCCCAGGATACACAGCACAGCCCCCTCCCCCAGAAAATAACTGTCCAGCCCCAATGTAAACAGTGCTGAAGTTGAGAAACTGCTCTAAATCCAGGGCAAATGGCCTGCGCTCAAGGCTGCCAGAAACTGAGGACAGCACTCACCCCTAAGTGCTGACGAGGCTACCAAGCAAGCAGTAGCTCTGACTTCTCACAGGCTTTCTCCTGGGAAGTCGGGGTGACTGGTGGAAACTGGAAGCATAAGCATTTCTCATTCTAGGTGCTGGGGAGTCAGGAAAGAGCACTATCGTCAAGCAAATGAAGTGAGTAGGAATGAAGCCCCAAGGGCCTGGGGTAGGTGAAGTCTGTGGGGCCATGGGAGGTACTCAGAGTAAAAGGCTCTTTAGCCTCAAGACGCCGATACAAAGGGTCTAAAGGAGCAGATTCCCAGTGCCTCTCAACTGCATGCCCATCACCCCTCACCCTCCACTTTGGGACAGCATAGCAATAGAGATGGGGTTCTATGCCCCTTTAAGTTCCCTAGATCCCCAGGCCCTTAGGTCTAGTTACAACTGGGTGTCTGCCCCTTCCAGGATCATTCACCAGGATGGCTACACGCCGGAAGAATGTCTGGAGTTCAAGTCCATCATCTACGGGAATGTGCTGCAGTCCATCCTGGCCATCATCCGGGCCATGTCCACCCTGGGCATTGACTACGCTGAAGCAAGCTGTGCGGTACGTGATTCGCAATGCTCGGGTAAGGGTAGAAGCAGGAAAGGTTAATGAGAAGAAACAGATCAGAGGCCAACAAACTATAAGGAAAGACTAGTAAGAAAAACAGTTTCATGCAACTAAACCCCCCCTTGCTGGGCTTCAGATAGTTTTATTCAGTCTTGGAGAAGTAAACAACCCCTACCTTGATAATAAATGTTTACAAAATCTGCTCCCAGCTTCCTCTGCTTTTCTCATTTTAACATTTAAGTTGCTCCCGTTGGGCTTCTTGCTATGGAAATGGAACTTTCTCTCTTTTAGGTTTCTGCCATAGAACCTGTGCGCTTGAGGGAGAGAGAGAGAGAGACAGGGAGAAGGAAAGTAAATTACCCCCCATGGGGGATGGCCACACTGCAAACTCTTCTTTATTCTCCTCTCTAGATTTTGGGTGTACACACACACACTCCCAGTGTAATTTTCAAGTTGCCAGGTTTGGGACTCGAACCAGTTAGCCATGTGGGAGTCCAGTACCTTAACCACCATGCCACCTGCTGGCCATGGTCATGGAACTTTTCTCTTGAGAGATTTTTGCTATAAGGTACGTGTGCTCACCAAAGAGACAGAGACAAAGAGACAGAAGTGGAAAATTGGGTGATCACACAGCAATCCTTTCTCCTCCATTCTCCTCTTGGGATTTCAGGTACACACGCACACGCACCTAGCCTAAGTTTTATGTTGCTAGGTCCGAGAGCTGAACCATGGCCCACTACATGGGAGTCCAGCAATGTAACCATTACAACATCTGCTGGTCCCGGTCAAGGAACTTTTTTTTTTTTTTTAAAGAATTATTTAATTTTATTTATTCATTCAATCATTTTCATTTGACCAGAGACAGACAGACACACAGAGAGAAGGAAAGTGAGAAAGCAGGCTGCCAGGTTCAGGACTCAAACCTAGGTTGGACATGTGGGGGTATCCAGTGCCTTAACCACCACGCCACCTGCTGGTCCCGTGGTCATGGAACTTTAAAAAGTCAAATTCCTAGTTTTAGTATTGACCTCTTTCCAGACTTGAATCATTCAAAGAACAAAGGTGATGGGTTGTGTCTTCCATCTTATCTGTTTCATGGTCAACCTTAGACTTTCAATTTCCCGTCTCCCTGCTACAGAGGACCCACGTTTTATTGGGGAAGGAAGCCAGAAACACCAGAGAAAGCACAAGAAACCTCTGCTATCCCCTAGGCACCCGAGGGCTAGACATTCACTCCCCCACACACCTGGGTCTGGGGAGCACACTCAAAAATCAATCAGTAGTTTTCTTAGAATCTTCACTGGAGACTGCTTCCACCCCGGGCTTTGGTGGCAATGTAAATTACTTTCCATTCAGCAGTCCCCAGAAGCCTCCTAGAAAGCCATGACTCCTGTGTAGTTCTCAGCCAAGTGTTCTGCCTTACAGGATGACGGACGACAGCTCAATAACCTGGCCGACTCCATTGAGGAGGGAACCATGCCTCCCGAGCTGGTGGAGGTCATTAGGAGGTTGTGGAAGGACGGTGGGGTGCAAGCCTGCTTTGAAAGAGCTGCAGAGTACCAGCTCAATGACTCAGCATCTTAGTAAGTCTCTGCCTGGGGAGAGGTTGGGAGGTCGCTTAAGCAATTTTCTAGGAAAACTCTGCTGGAGGCTGACTGAATTCAGCCTGCAAACCTGTTTTGTTAGAGCTGAGTCGTGTTGTACTGTGTTTTGAATTTAAGAGCCCAGGACTATCTGCCACACTGCTACCACTCTGCATCGCTTTAAGGCAGATCACTGCAGCCTACAAAGCTGAAGATGCAAATTCAAAACATAGGTGCCAAGCCTAGTAGCTCTTTGTCTTGTTCTTAATTAAATCACACACTTCGGCCCTATCAGCCCTGCAGTTCAGCCACACCCTCTCCCAGAGGCATGCGGTTCACAAAACAAAAATTAAGTCTCCTTCACCTAGAGCATCTTATGTCAGGATACCTGGGCTGGAGACAAAGTGAAAACCAAAAGGAAGGTGGTCAGGGATTAGAGAACCAACTGTGCAAAGCTGCTTCCAAAAGGATAGGGGGCAGTTTATTGATCTTAGACAGTATCATTGATTGGCATGCGCGTCAAAATCTTTTATTTATTTATTTTTTTGGAGCGGTTTTTGCTATAGGGCACATGTGCTCTCCAGAATGATCAAGAGAGACAAAGAGACAGAAAGCAAGAAATCACTCCCCAGGGGGGATAGCCATGCCGCAATCCCTTCTTCATTCTCCTCTCAAGATCTTGGGCACACACGCACACGCGCCCGGCGTGAGTTTAAGCCACTGGGCCTGAGACTTGAACCACGGTCGACTACATGGGAGTCCAGTGACATAGCCATTACGCCAATGGCTGGTCCCTGTGCATCAAAATCTCATAGACCTGAGCTTAACCCCCCTCTGTCACTTAATCTTGCAGTAATGTTATCATTTACTAGCTCTGGAGCACTCACTAACACCCAGTCATAGCCAGGTGCAATGACTCATCTCAAGACTAATTTGCACAACAGAATATCAGAGTATACAGCACTTTTTAAAAAAAAATCTGTCAGGGGCTCATGCGCTCACCAGAGACAGAGAGGGAGAGGAAGAAAGCACCCCACAATGGGGCATGGTCACACTGTGATCCTTTTTCCATTCCTCTCCCCTTCTGGGATCTTGGGCATGCACACACATGCTCCCAGCTTGTTTTTCAAGCCACTGGGTCTGTGATACAAACCACAGAGTCAGCCATGTGGGGCTCAGCTCTCTTAACCAAGAGACTGGCCATGGGGCTGGCCCATGACAGCACTTTTTATTAGCCCCATTTTATGGATCAGAAACTAGGATTCAGAGAAACTAATTCAGGTCATACAGATAAACGGTTTAAGCTAGGTTTGCATCCAGGTCTGCTTGACTACAAAGTTGAATATCTTTTTATAATATACTAAAATACCTCTAGATCCTGGTTCTGACTCTTCAGAATTCTATCTTCATCTGTACAACGGGGATATGAAGCTTGAAGGTTTATGAGGTTAAATGAGAATTTAAATGTGAAAATACATGGCATATAGTCATCTCACTTCCCATCTAGCTTCTTCCTATCCCTCTTTTTTATAAACTACTTTTTTATGGTAACTTCCAACATATACAAAAGTGGAGTAATATTTCTTTTCTTTTTTTTTTTTTTTTGAGAGGTTTTTGCCATAGGGCACATGCATTCACCAGAAAGAGAGAGAGAGAAGGGGAAATCACCCTCCAGGGGTGATAACCATGCTGCAATCCCTTCTCCATTCCCCTCTCGGGATCTTGGGCATGCACACACACGCACCTGGCGTGAGTTTAAGCTACCAGATCTAGGACTCGAACTACAGTTGACTACATGGGAGTCCAGTGACATAGTCATCACACCAACTGCTGGTCCCCGAAAGTGGAGTAATATAATCATTACCTATTTTTTAAAAAATTATTTAACTTTATTTATTTATTATTTTAATTTAGCCAGAGAAGGACAGAGAGAGAGGAGAAAGTGAGAAAGCAAGCCACCAGGTCTGAGACTTGAACTGCAGTCAGCCATGTGGGTAGTCCAGCGCCCTTAACCACCATGCCACCTGCCGGCACCATCATTACCTACTTTTAACAATTATGAACTCATGGTTACTCCTGTTTCATTTGATCTCCATCTCCCACTAGATTATTTTAAAATGAATCCCAGATATTTCATCCTAAAAATTTCATTATGTATTTCTAAACTAAGAAGATGCTTTTTAAAAAAGAAATCACAATACCACACCTAAATATTTAATAATTTCTTACTGCCAGAAAATACCCAAATCTATGTTCAAATTTCCCAAGTATGCTTTTCCCCAGTTTGATTCAGTATATGAACAAAGTCCATGCTTTACACGGGTTCACATGTCATATATCTCCCATCTCTAAAGTCTCTCTCGATCTATCCCAGGCTCCCAAGAGAACTTTTGGTACCCATTTAAACTGCTAAAAACTTCAAAGGTCTAGAAAAGCGCACAGCCAGGTAAAACCCAAGGAAAAGTTACGACTTAAATGAGGTGGAACCCTTGCCTCAAATGGGCTTGTCCCCACTTCCTTTTGTGAAGGAAAAAATTCTATATTTAATGATATGGATTATAGTGTTGGCTCTCTTACCTATTAGTGCAGCTTTGGGTGACAGCTTTTATTTTTCATGGCCTTGGCTGTGGAAAATTTAATGTCATCAATACTGATCTTTTTTCTCTAGCTACCTGAACCAATTAGAACGGATTACAGACCCTGATTACCTCCCTAATGAGCAAGATGTGCTACGATCCAGAGTCAAAACCACCGGCATCATTGAGACCAAATTTTCTGTCAAAGACTTGAATTTCAGGTAAGCAAACGGTTTCCTGAGGCATTTTAGATATACACAGACTCTCAGAAAAGGGCCACAGACATGCTCCTTGGCCTTTCATGAAGCCCAATCTACTGTCTTTACTTCTCCCCTTTCCTCCCCCTTTCCCATCTTACTGCTAACTGGCCCCAATGTGGCCACTTTTTAGGGTAAACACCAAAGGCATGTGGGTCACACAGGGGGCACGTGTATGAGAATAGCTGCTTTTTCCCTCAGGATGTTTGACGTAGGTGGACAGAGATCTGAGAGAAAGAAGTGGATCCACTGCTTTGAGGGAGTCACCTGCATCATTTTCTGTGCGGCCCTCAGCGCCTATGATATGGTGCTGGTGGAAGATGACGAAGTGGTAAGTGGTCTTTGCACCAAGCAGCTTTGGTAGAACAAGTTCTCACCACACATGACCCTTTCTCCAAGCCTCGTGTCACTTGAATGCTCCAGACTTGGTGATTTCAAGATAATCTTGACAGCCTCGCAGTCCTCTAGCAGACCAATTGATGTCTCATGCAAAAAATTCCAGAAAAGGGCCAGCATATGGTTGGTGGCTAGACTCCTACATGACTGACTGTGGTTCAAGTCCTGGACCCAGCTGCTTGGAAATCACACTAGATGTGTGTGCGTGCATGCCTAAAATCCCAGGAGGAAAATGAAGAAGAGATTACAGTGTGGCCATCCCCTCGGGGGGGCGGGGGTGATTTCTCACTTTCCCTCTCATTGTATCTCTCTCTCTGGCAAGTCCAGGTGCTCTATGGCAAAAAACATTAAAAAAAAAAAATTCTAGAAAAGTTATTCTGCAGGTTCTTTTGAACTTTAGAGCTCCAGATTTCCTGAGAATGAGCTGGTCTTAGATGAGACATTCAAAGATCACTTAGACATCACAAAGTTCATAAAAGGGAATGAGTATTGAGATAAGGTCATCACCAAGGCAAATTTTTTCTCCAAATTTGCCTACGGAAGTAAAGGACAGGAGCTCATGAGACAAAGTGAGCATTGAAGAGATAAGGATCATCAACTAGGCAAAATTCAATACTCCCCTAATTTGCCTATGGAAGTAAAGGATAGGAGCTCATGAGAGAAACTGAGTATTGAAGAGATAAGGGGTCATCGACTAAGCAAAATTTAATACTCTCATTTGCCTATGGAAGTAAAGGAGATGAAAATGAAAGAGCAGAAAAAATACGTTGTGCCTTTTCATGCAACGTAGTAGAAGGGTTGAATTGCTAAGTCGCTTAGAAGCCTGTCAACAGGAGTAAGAGGCTGGCAGACGAAGGTTCTATAACCTGCCAACTAACCTGACAGCTGAAGATTACCTGAGATTAGTCTGTAGAGTTCTACAAGACAGAAACTCTACGAAACAAGTGTCACAGCCCAGCCATTACCTTCTCTGAGCCCGAGACAGAGGATATCAAAGGCATGGAATTTCACATAAGCATCTGCTTCATAAATGGAGGCCCATAGTTTACTGATGGAGGACAGAGCTAACCTCCCAGCCCTTGCTCTAGCTCCAGTACCCTCTCCTTCGGCTCAGCAGTTCACATTTACAGTAGAGCTCTCTGAATCATCTTCCAGCCAAGATGTCTTACATGACTATTCACCTTCCAAGATCTCCTCCATCTTTAACCCTGCAGTCTATGAGATCTTAAGAGGATTTTACAAGCGTATTACAGTAAGAAAGGGGCACACATTAGATCGTTCTTACTTAAATAGATGGAAAGATTAAGGCCAGCTGTTAGTATACTTTGTCCTAAAGGCCTGCTCTCTAAAAGCAGGGCACTGGGGCACTAGGTAACCTTTGGGGATATATAGTACCACTTCTCACTCTCCAAGCAGCAATCAGAGGAAATGAGAGAGGAGCAGTGCTTGCAGTGTGGCACTGGGAAATCCTCCAGTCCTTACCATTTGGTACCAGGGTCAAAGTATCTCTCTCATGTCCTTGTCCAACCTGAGATTGGGACCCTATAATGGAAGCCTGTCAAATTTATGTTGGGGATGCAGATAGGCACATGCTAACTTGGGCCTGGTTTCAACCGTGGATCAGCAGCACTTAAAGATGTGAAAGACCTTAGCTAGGCCCTGGCTGCAGGACATGTAACATATACGTCTCCCAGCCACTATCATGGACACCAAACACACGTGACCTCATTTAATATTCATAACCCTAGGAGAGAGATGGGGACATTGAGATCGGAAAAGACTGATTCCCCCAAATTACATAGCTAATAAAATGACAGCAGTCTAGAAGGAACTCTAATCTCGACTCTATCCCGCTACATTGAAAGGGGGATAAGCTGTTCCCTGTCTTTTCTTTTACATTTGAAGCAGTGTTCTCTCCAAGGGGAACAAGAACAGGAAGGAGATGTATCCCGTAAGCCAAATCTGATATTTCCGATGGTGTTTCCTCTTACTAGAATCGTATGCATGAGTCTTTGCATCTGTTCAACAGCATATGTAACCACAAGTTCTTTGCGGCTACTTCAATTGTCCTCTTTCTCAACAAGAAGGACCTCTTTGAGGAAAAAATCAAGAAAGTCCATCTCAGCATTTGTTTTCCAGAGTATGATGGTAAGTGTCAAGGGTTGGAGGTGGAGACAAAGGTAATTAATGCCTTTTAGTACTGACTTGGTGATTACCTCATGTCACATGCCAAAGTGACATAAAGGAACTCAGAGAGAAATCTGGGCTTTCAGTTACAGGGTTCAAGTTCAGATGTCTCTGGAAGAGAACAGACATTAGATGCAAGAGGGCCACTGATTTAGGGTACAGAGATAAGTTTCTCCTCAGTCTCTCTATTCAAGTCAAGTGAGAAACACTGGAGTATAATACAGTGAGAGCGCATCCCCAAAAAGAGAGGCCCCCAATCATTGTTGTCCAACACATTTTGAAAATCAAGTCAGTCACCTAAAAAGTAACTAAGCAAGTAAGTTTTAATTTACCCTACTTCTTCACCATTTTTTCTGGAAAATCAGGGAACAATTCCTTTGACGACGCAGGAAATTATATCAAGAATCAGTTTCTTGACCTCAATATGCGAAAAGATGTCAAAGAAATCTACAGTCACATGACCTGCGCCACAGATACTCAGAATGTCAAATTTGTGTTTGATGCAGTCACAGATATCATCATCAAAGAAAACCTCAAGGACTGCGGGCTCTTCTAATCCTCACCATTCCTCAGGTATACGTGTTACAAACAGGCTTGGCACCTGGGTCATTTGGAGCAAACAATTATAGTGAATAATTATCATGACACGAAGAATGAATCCAGTCTCCTTCAGAGATGGAATATGCATGATTCCAACTGTGTCTCGCACGTTCTTTTCACAGCAAGCTAGCCGGTAGTTTAAAGAGCACAAATCCAGGAGCTGGAAAACACAGGTTCCAGTACTGGTTGTGCAACTTTATACGAAAATGTGAATGCTTCATTTTTCTGAGCCCTGAGTCCCTCATCTCTAAAACAAAGATAACTTCCCTACCTACTTCACAGGGTTATTCTGAGAAGCACAACATAATGAAGGGAAGGCACATAAAAGCTGCTGTGGTTAGAGTCACATAAAGAAATCCTATATAAAAGCTGCCAAGTATAAAATTCAACACCTATTTTTAAAATAAACAATCTCAACAAACAATCCCAAGCAATACAACAAATCTTCCCTACAGTCAGCAAAAAAACCCCAAACAATTAAAATCCCCCAAAAACAGGGGCCGGCAGGTGGCATGGTGGTTAAGGGAGCTGGACTCCCACATGGCCGACTGGTTCGAGTCCCAGACCTGGCGGCCTGCTTTCTCAGTTTCTCTCTCTCCCTCTCTGGTCAAATTAAAATAAAGTAAAAATAAATAGACAAAATTAAAGTTAAAAAGAATTATTTAAAAACAACACATCTGGTAAAAAACAAAATCTCAATAAACCTACCATTCCCTTTTCAGTCAGACCTCTATGTGCCTTAGCTCAGAGACCTGAACCACTAGACAGGAGATATGAGTTTGTTAAGTTTCTAAGGCACACATTCAAAAATGATCATACTGATTAAGCACAGATTCTCCCTCTGGCCCCAGGCTGTCAAATAGACTGAATTTCCTTTATCTCTACATAACTGTTTCTCAGCTATGCAAGATACTTTCTGAATAAACTGGAGGACATCGCCACACATCCAGTAGAGTTATGAATGACTGTATTGCTGCCACTTCTCTATCTGCATAAAATTTAGAACAAACAAGCAATTCTAAAACTCTCATTTTAACTGCTACACAAGAACAAAAGACAGCTGAGCTTGCTTTAGGCGTAGAAAATCCTTGCAGTTGGGTCCATTTGATACTGGCAGAAAACACCTCCCCAAACAGGCCAACAAGTAAATTATTCCTTTGAACTCCTTTGAGGGGAAGTGAAGCTTGCATTTATCTTGACAGGAGGTGGTGAAGTCAAGTATAGATTTAGCATTTACAACTACTAGTGAGGAAAGCTCTTGGCATACAAGATTTAGTACACAAAAGAAAGTGTCAATTAAAATGAAAATCTGCTCCTTGCCAGAAACACCCATTCACACGTATGCTGCTACTACCAGTATTAATACCAGAGAGCCATATGAGCTAGAAATACACTGCAGAAGAAATGTGCAGCTGTTAAAATTGGACTCATTTAATAGTCTTTATGATTCCCTAAAAAGAAACCAACTTGGAAGAATTTTCAGAGAAACTATTCTGGCTACTGCTGTTTAAAAAATAACTGACAGGAAAAATCCTGGCCAAGACTTCTCACATCCAAGAGCTGTTGAGGGATTTCTCTGAAAGACATGTTCCAACCATCACTCACAAACTTCTTTGCTTTAATTCAACACATAGGGGTTTTGAGTGTATCATGGATCCCTCTGGCAATGTGATGAAACCTCCGGACCGCTTTTAAGAATAACATTTTATAGACCAGCAGTTAGCGTAATGGCTATGTTGTTGGACTCCCATGTAGTTGACCGCAGTTCGAGTCCCGGATCCGGTGGCTTAAATTCATGCCAGGCACGTGTGTATGTGCCCAGGATCTCGAGAGGAGAATGGAAGAGAAGGGACTGTCGTGTAGCCATCCCCCCCCGGGGGGTGTGTGTGATTTCTCACTTTCTGTCTCTATGTCTTTGGGGTGAGCACATGTGCCCTATAGCAAAAAAAAACTCTCAGAAAAAAAAAATAGCACCATTTCAAATGCACAAAATTCAGATAATTGCAAAGGGAATCAACACACTAAATACAGTTCTATCCTTTGACCCTCTGGAGCTCTAAAGCCCAAGGTTAAGAATTGACTATGGAGCCAGCTGGTAGACTGGTGGTTAAGGTAGCGGGATCCCACAGGGCTGACTGTGCACTTTGAGTCCCAGACTCATGGCTTGAGAAACACGCTAGCCATGTGTATGTATATGCCCAAAATCCTGAAAGGAGAAGTGAAGTAGCATGGCCATCCCCCATGAGGGGTGCTTTCTCACTTTCCCTCCCTTCCACCCGTTCCCCTCATCCCACCCCCCCGCAGCATGTACACACCCTCTAGTAAAAGAAAAAAAAAAAAAGAACTCTCACTGTGTCAGCTATGATCTTGTCTATTCAGACCCCCAAAAGAATTTATCCCATCTATTCCATCTCCATATAGAATAGTCCTACCACCTCCCTTTGAATCTTACCATACTGCACTTTTCATTAACTTTTCCTTGATCTCTGAATCTAGGTAGAAACTGGTTATGGGCCAAAAGATGAATGTGTAGTACAAGATCCTTGGTTATCAACATTCCCACAGCCCTGCTCTGTAGGACTAGGATAAACGCTGAGCCAGTGGGCCAGGTCTTACGGCAGAAGGATGAAACATTTCTAGCAAAATAAAACAGTTGTATCTTAGTCTTTTTTTTTTTTTTTTCTAGTAGCTGTACCAACTTCTAACTGGTTTATAGACAAATTCATACAAGCCATCTCATATGAACACTTCGTGAAGTTTATCTTAGATGATGGAGGGGACAGTAGCACTTAAAGCTGTCTTACAGCCTTTTTTCTTACCGAGAGTAGGATCTGTGCATTCATTCCATGTTTTCAAGCTAACACTCTTCTGGTAAGCCCACACAGACTAAAACTCTGGGGCCCTCATCACCCATTCACCTGTACTTTAGAATAAAGTCAAAATAACTTCCTGAAAGTCCTGGCCCAGACAGGGCTCTCCTCCAAGCAAAGGTAAGAAGACTTCACCTCAATGCTCGCTCCTCGTAGGATTCCAAAAACAGAATTAACCCTTCCCCCAGTGTGTCAGTCCCAGAATTTTTCCCAAACCTTACACTGTTAAGAGATGGGGGAAAGTGCATTTGTATCCCTCCTACACCGCTGGCTTGTTTGTTTATGGACATTTTGATTGTGTGCATGAAAACTTCTTTGTATAAAATGGCTATCAGAAAGATTAAAAATTAAGCCATATACTCTGTTGTCTTTTTTTTTTTTTTTTTTTTTGCCTCATGTTAAATTTATACAGTATTATATAACTTCCCATATCTTTACAAGTTACCAGAAATTCTTTTGTGTAACAAGGTCAAAAGCAAATATTCAACCCTATTTTTGGGGCACTGCAACCTTAATTCTTAGAACGCTCATGTTAGAAAGAACTTAGAAATAAATATTCCAGGCCCATCACTAGCAACTGATGGATAGGAAACTAAGGCCAAAGGATGTGGAGTGTCCTCGCTAAGTTCACACTGCTAAGAAACAGTGCTTCTGGGTCCAAAGTAGCCACCCGTCTACTGACGTCAGGACACTAATGGTCCAGCCCACCAGATTCTCTAAACATCAAGTCAATTTTCCATTCTTTTTAGTTCTCCCATTCCCAACCAAATTTTTGGTTATTTTTTAAGCTACTGTACCATCACTAAATCATGGGTATTAAAGAAAACACTCTCCAGGACCAGCAGTTAGCGTAATGGCTATGTCGCTGGACTCCCATGTAGTCGAATGAGGTTCGAGTCCCGGACCCAGTGACTTAAAACTCACACCAGGCGCGTATGCGTGCGTGCGTGCCCAAGATCCCGAGAGGAGAATGGAGGAGAAGGGATTGAGGCGTGGCCATCCCCCTGGGGGTTGATTTCTCGCTTTCTGCCTCTCTGTCTCTCTTTCTGGCCAGTGCACACGCCTTATAGCAAAAAATCTCTCAAAAAAAAACACAAAAAACAAACAAAAAAAGAAAGAAAACATTCTCCAAACTAAATCAAATAGCCCTCAAAATAGAATGTGAAAAATAGCATAAAATCACAAAACTACAGGTCACCATAAGTTTGCATGTTTGTTGAAATATCATTTCCTCTTAAGATCCTTAGAGGGCAGAGACTGTAATGTACGTCCCCAGCAGAGCATGATTAAAGCAACACTGCTGACAATAAACCAAATGTAAATTACAATTCACATAAATTTCATGACAGTTCAACAAAAATACATTATGATTGACACAAGAGAAATATTGCAACACTTGCATGAGTTGCCCCAAACAGTCAAATCCATAGAGATATGAAGGAGAATGACAGTTATCAGGGGATGGGGAAAGGAGGAAGATAGGGATTTACAGTTTAAAGGGTACAGAGTTTTAGTCCAGGAAGATGAGAAGTTCTGGAGATGAACGATGGTGATGGCTGTGCAGTATGTGCCGTTGGCATATATACTTAACATTATTAAAATGGTCATTTGTTTTTTGAGAGGTTTTTGCTATGGGGTACATACGCTTGCCAGAAAGCCAGAGAGAGACAGAGAGACAGAAAGTGAGAAATCAACCCCCGGGGGGGGGGAGGGCACACCGCAATCCCTTCACCTCCATTCTCCTCTCAGGATCTTGGGCACGCACGCACGCACACGCGCCCAGCGTGAGTTTAAGGCACCGAGTCCAGGACTTGAACCGTAGTCGACTACATGGGAGTCCAGTGACACAGTCGTTATGCCAACTGCTGGTCCCAAAATAATAAATTTTATGTTATTTAACACTTTACCACAATTTTAAAAACTGGAAAAAAAAAACTCTAATTGAAAATGTATTTTTATGCTTTTTGAAGAAAAGGATGGACAAAAGAAACATAAGAATTCAGTCTTATAATCGATGTTTACATTTACTTATTAACATTTCCTACTCTGATAATAAAATTCACTTACGTGTATCCCAATAGTTCAAATCAGAGTATTCCCTCCCAGCCCCAAGATGAGACATACAGCATTCAAAGCCCACTGCACTTGGAGACGTGCTGTGGACAAAAGTGTGCCGGCCATGCTGGGTGGAGAAGGCGGTGAAGGGTGAAGAGCGCTTACCTCCCACTTCCCTCTCTACCCGGCACAGCCCCTGAAGCACAGATTTCAGAAAGACTTCGGTGGTGGGCCAGGGATTGCAAGTGTGCCAGAGTCTCTGGTGGTCCTGCTAGGTGAAAGTATGAAAATGCTTCTATGAGGTCAGACAGACAGACTAATAGCAGAAAGGAGCTTATCTGCCTTTTAGCCGTGAAAAGGCACTAATATGAACAGAAAACAAGGCACTAGATTAAACTGTAAAATAAACCAAAAGCCTTTTCACCCTGCTCCACAAATTTTAGAGCCATTTATAGTTCATCCTCATTTCAGGTCTTCAAAATTAATGAGGATACAATGCTGTGAAAAGACCACCAGCTACAATGAATACATCTGTGAGGGCTGCTTAGGATAGCACTTTTCTGCAATGCAGTATAATCCTGAATATCACA